ATCGAGTAAGGTACGCTGCTTATTATCTTGATGGTGAAGCCAACGTGTGGTGGCAGTGTCTTACTAGCGTATACCGGAGCCGACAACGATTCATCCGATGGAACGATTTCGAGCCAGAGTTACTCACACGTTTCGGAACGTCTGACTACCACAACTATGACGAGGAGCTAACATGCATAAGGCAGACAGGAAGCTTGCGCGACTATCTTAAGGAGTTCGAGCGATTGGCATGTCGAGTAAGAGGCTGGCCCGAGACCGCGTTAGTAGAGGCTTTCATAGGCGGCCTAAACTTTTATCTAGCTGCTGAGTTACGCTTAGAGCGTCCCGAGACAATGCATGCCGCCATGAAGGTTGCTCGACGCTGAGAAGATCATCTTGTGGCAACTCGAAGGGGACGGGCAGACGCACGCTACCTCGAGACGCGATGCGCACAACCAGATGCGAGCAATATGATTCCGAGCGGCCAACCGCCTGATAGCTCTTGACCGACCAATAGCGCGCGACCACCAGGACCAGAAGTCAAGCACATGTTGTAACACCCCGCCTTATCATAAAATCAGAGTGCGAAAATCTCGCAATAAAATCTTTTACTTTGCGAAAACTGATTCGGGGTGCTACCTTAAAATGTGACTTAATTTGGAAAACCATTATCTTAATTTTTAATAAAATTATATTGTTACTGAGAGCATAAAGTTTTCCAAAAGTCCGGTCGAAACATAAGTTCGTCAAAAGCCATCATCAGCGGAAACGTAAATCATCATAATATATACACAGTCAAAATATAAAAGTCCTGAAGCCTTCATCATCTCACGCTCCTTGCCCGACATCCTGACCTGAAAAACATGATAAAAGTGGGAAATGAGCACTATGGCACTGTGCTCTGTGGAAACTCATACTAATGTAAACATTGAAAATAATAACAACATCATGATATCGGCATATACATAACCTCAACATGAAACCGGTAATAACATGAACATGAATCTGATATCGTCACGCAACGTGACCCTGACAGTTACCTCATCTGCCAGCAAAAACTAATGTCGGACACCATGTGCATACTCTAGTGGGCAGACTAGGGCCACTAGAACCCAGAATGGACCGGCGACCATTCCGAGCGGATACCTCCCATGAAATACATACCTCAAGCATGGTACCGCAATTATAATCAATGTAGTACTTAGTCTGAGTCCCCACCTGAATCTGCTGAAACTGAACGGTAGTGCTGATGCCTGATCAAACTGAAAATAATATAAACTATTACTAATGACTATGCTCAGACTGTTAACTTAACTGATTAATTTCGTTAAGATGCTCTACTAAACTTGACATGATACTTAGACATAACCGGAATAACCGGAACTGAACTGATATGAACTGATCGGACATGAATTTAGTGAACTGAAATTATCCCAGAAATTTAACTGAAAATACCATTAAAATCATGAACCGGGCTGAAATCATAACATACAAACCGAACCGATTTAAAAATGGGACTGAACCGGTCCATCCGGTCTGGACCGGACTGCTGGTCGACTGAACCGGCAGTCGGCGCTGGCTCGGCCAGCAACCTGCCGCGTGCTGCGCACAGTGCGCACGGGCGCTGCTGGCTTGCTTCGGGTGCTGGACAGTCGTTCCAGGCACGACTGGGCATACTGGGTACGTGCGGCGTGCACTGGACGCGTAGCTGATTGGCGAGATGCGTGCGTGCGTCGGGTGCAGCATAGCATTGGCCAGAGCACTGCCCCGCGCTATGTGCGCAGGCGCAGGCACTGCTGGGCGCTGCCGTGCGCCGCAGCGGGTACTGTAGCGTGCACTGGCGACGCTGACGTGCATCGGGCAACGTAACTGGCACCATGCGGCCCGCTGTCGCGCGACATCGCGCGCTGGCGTGCGTTATCGCATGCTGGTGCGCTTGGCTGGGCGTTGCTGCCGCTAGGTGCAGACAGCACGGCCTAAGGCCGACCCTTGCCGGCCGTTCGGCACTAACTCCCGAGCATTCTGACTTCACTGAACATAACTTAATATAACCTAATCCTGATCACTGAATTAACTTAAAATATTACCTTTGCATGGTGACTGAATAGGTCGTGGCGCGTCGCCGACGGCGATAGGCCGTCACCCGACCGACTCAACTTATCCCTCGGCAACTCAAGACCAATTCAACATGAAGCATTATTATGAGGCTATCAAGACATCAATCACACGGATGAACTCAACCAAACTGAAAGTAACATAACATGACTTGGGCGGCCCGTGGCCATGCGCGGTGTGCGCTGGCTAAGTCTATAGGCCAATTCACGCTTAAAACAACATTTTGGCTCGACCAACATGGATCAACTAAGTATGAAATGATATAAAATGAACAAATAAACTTGAATTGCACAAGAGTTGCCGGGTAGAAGAAGACCTCACTCGGTCACGGCCAATATATGGCACTACCGGACATATCATTACATTTCGTGAACTTATTGGACATGAGCTTGAATAATTTAACACTACATGATCTTATTAACCAGAAAAGGTGCTGAGGGTGAGTTACCTTCTCCAAACGTTCGGCTGAAACGAAGGATAGGGCGTGATTCTTTGGCTTCGTGCGCGTAAGGCATGGCCGTGCGGTGCTCGGAAGCTAAGTGCCATGCGAGTACACTCCTTAACACAACTCTCTTACTAATTCTCACTTCAATATGTATAATTTTGCTGATAGTCTTTAATGGAAGGTGGGAAAATTTTCCATTTCTTAGGCTATATATAAAGAGGGCCGTAAGATGTTTGATGATGTAGGTAGGATGTGGCTCACTCTAATCTTGACATTTGGAGGCTAATTGGAAATCTTAGGGATGACTAATCCTCCCTTCTACCCCTCATAAGGACACGTGTGATGGTAAAAAGAATTGGGAAGGAATTACTTCCTTAAGACTTAGGAAATTTTGTACATAATTTGGGAACTATACAAACTATCCGTACGGCCTTTATGAAAAATTGGAACATAAGCTTCTACTTTTTAACATTAATTGCGTGATTAATGTTAAATTAATCACCTACTTATTGTTTAATAATTTAATTAAACATAATACTTAATTACCAAAATTATTCCGAACGTAAAAGGTACGTCGAAAATAAATTTCGGTAATCTCGACTGAATATAATTAATTCCGAAAATAATAATCGATAACATTATTATATCGGAACTAAAACATAATTTATACTGACAAAATAACGGGACATTACAATCCTCCCTCCTTACAAATTTCCGTCCTCGGAAATTCAAAACATAACTGATATACATGAACTATGTACATAGGCTAAGGAAATATGTACATCAAAACTGAAAATTTGGAAAACGAGCGCGAATATCGGATTCCTCCTCCCAAGTAGCTCCGTGGCGATCCCATTGAATAAGCACGAGGGGAATATCTCGCTTCCGGAGCCGACGAACCTGACGGTCTAGTACAGCCACCGGTCGCTCCTCGTACGATAGATCTGGCTGAACCTGAATATCTGAATGAGGAATGACATGATCGGGGTCGCACACGTATTTACGCAACATAGATGCGTGGAAAACATTATGAATGCCTAATAATTCGGGAGGTAGGGCTAAACGATACGCGACCTTGCCTACTCACTCGAGAACCTCGAACGGACCGATGAATCGAGGGTGCAGCTTCCCTCTCTTTCCAAATCGAACGACTCCACGAATCGGACGACCTCTGAGAAAAGCTGGCTCGCCAACCTCGAACTGAATATCTCGTCGATGATTATCGGCTGAGGATTTCTGTCGACTCTGAGCTGTCCTGAGTCTCTGCCGAATCAACTCGACTTGATCTGCCGTTTCCTCGATCGACTTAGGACCGAGTACTCGTCGCTCTCCGACGTCGTCCCAATAAAGAGGGGAACGACACTTGCGACCGTAAAGTGCCTCATAAGGAGCCATCTGAATAGAAGAATGATAGCTGTTGTTATACGCAAACTCAGCGTATGACAACAACGACTCCCAATTAGCACCCCTGTCAACAACCAAAGCGCGAAGCATATCCTCAAGCGTCTGAATCGTCCGCTCTGACTGACCATCTGTCTCCGGATGGTAGGCTGAACTGAACTCTAACTTCGTGCCCATTGCCTCATGTAAACTGTGCCAGAATCGACTAACGAATCTGGGATCTCTATCTGATACGATCGTTACGGGCACTCCGTGGAGTCGAATGATCCCACGGGTATATATCTCAGCCAACTTGTC